TATATATATGGTAAAAAAAAACAAGCATATTTCCTCGTTATATATGCCTTATGTAGAAATACTATTTATTTGAAAATGTCGTATGTTTAATCTTAATAATAATGTATATTGCAAATAATCGATCAATTCGTATTAATTTTTAAAAATTCGTATCTATGTTAATATAAACATGTATGGAGCGAAGAGATCTATATTGATTAACTTTTCAAAATGTGAAAAGTGATAAGAGTGGTAAAACGAACAGAGTTTTAAAAAGATATAAATTATATACATCAATTTACACAAGGAGTACAAGTTCTATAAGTTATTCCATTTTGTTAATTATGGTTATCGCGCTTATTGTTTTATCTTTCAGACACAGAATTTTTCTTAACGCGCTGAAATATTGTGCGAAAGATTAATGTGCCATACCAAATCTGAGACGATATTGAAGGGGATTAATTCGCGTTATATACTTCATTACCAAAGATTAATTACGTTTCTAGTCCCTGATGGATTCTGCGCGTGACACCCGATATTTCGATAGGGTGGCTTTGCTATTCGTAAGGCACCGTCTTATCGCAACTGGAGATTATTCGCTGCGAAACTCTGCTGTATTGCATCGCGCATACTGTAAATTGTAACCAAAAGTTACTAATGGTCTGTCGAACCGGATGCGAGATTTTGATGGACGAATGAAACTCGAGTATTGGTCAAAAATTGTATTATCGGAGATAAAAATTGAATTCGACGAGTAACGTGATAACATATCAAAGATGCATTTTGGATTGGACTCTTTTAATTATTAAATTATCAAAACTAATCAATTGTTTTTTGCATATATTATTCAATATATATTATTTGTGTAAATGGAAATAACAATGTGTTAAATGTTAGATAACTGACAATAGATTTACTGGAGAAATCGACACATAGTGTAAAGTATTATAAATAAGTAGCTTTTCTCTTACCTCCTTACATTCGATTCGTTACTTTAGACATTGAAAATGAAATTCCAGTTGGCGATAACGAGGAGACAAAAGCGCAATTGCCAGATTAATGCATCTTTTATACGTTATTTCTTTTATTTGCTTTTCGAACTGATTTAATGTAACTTTATTTCTCTTTGGACGCGTGTAAGAAGAGAAAAACATTTTAGATAATTTTAATAAAGTTCTTTTCTATATAGCTGCATACAATTTATGACGTACCTCTCTTTTTACATTTTTGAAATATATACTTCAGAAATAATTTTGCTTATGGTTAAAAATGTGTGCGCGCTAAATTATAGCGTGATACTTTGTGATCGAAATTGAAGCAGTACTGCTGCAATTAATTTTGGATTTTTATTTATATAATAAACGTGTGTGTATAAAAAATAACTTATAGAACTTATGTTCTTTATAATTTGATATTTATTATCTTTTTTAAAACGTATAATTAATTTATATTTTTTATTTTGCTTTATGATTCGATCTGTTATTTAATTACACATCTTGAAAATTTGATCAGTATAGATTTCTTTGCCGCGTACATGTTTATATTAATAGATAGACTTTTAATAATTTAATGCAAGTTATTGTTATTGTGCTATTATTTTGTATTTCTCACAAAGAGGGATATTTAATATAGTAACAAAAAAATGCAAATATTATTCAAGAAAACAATCGCATGTCGCAATTAAATGTCACTCAATTAAACGAATCTAGTCAAAATGCAATTGTCATCAAAGCGAGAATGTTAAGTGAGGAGTAAGGAAATCAGAGCTGGACGAGAAATGTAGCGCTACTAATTAGAGAACGTATAGATCAGTCTCGTATATATCTCCAAAAGATAATCATCTTAATGGCTCCTCATGTATCCGTCATACTAGATTACTCTTCGTGAAGTGAATATACATTTCGATTAATTAAAAATTAGAACTATTCTTTACTTAAGTGTTATATTTTGAAATTTAGAGCTCAAAGAATTTTATTCGGAAAATAAAAATGAATAAAAACTATAATTTTGTAATAACTGATATTGTATTCATTGCAGGCGCATAAATCTATTTCTACCTGTAATCAGAGGTTGATAATATCGTTTTGTTTTTATATATTCCATATTTTTATAATATATATTTATATTTTAATTTTATATGTATATAATGATTATTTCGCCAACAATATTGTCAATTCTCTTGCAGAAAAGTTGTAGGATTTGGAATGTGTGATTGTTAATAATGACATTAGAAAAGATTTGATAGACAAATTTGAGGAGATTATATATATATATAATTATAATTTATTTTAAATAAATTTCAGCTAACATAAGATTATCTTTTTAATTTGTATAATGTAATACTTTTTGTGTGACGTAGGATTAGAACATAGTATGTACTCGGACAAAAATACAATCCATCTCAATATTGCATTACTTTCAATACAATATTGTCTGTTGTACTTTTAAAAATCTTAATGTGACAATTTTCTCATGTTGTAGAATGAGAATGTCGATATATAAATGTAATATACATGTGCTGTTCTTTGATCGAGCAAGAATTCTGTCTTAGCGCACGCTGCGGCAAGTTAAGTGCACCGTCATTTTCCAGAATGAGGACGCTTATACAGAGCATGTGTGTATGACGGAATTCACAGAGTATTAGTTCTATTAATAAGTCTGATACATAAGTGTATATGTGCATGTGTCAGTCTTATTTAAGTCTAATATATAAATGATTAATTCCTATACGTTTCAAACAAATGTGTACATGTCGCGTTTTAAAAAGAAAAAAATAAGTTACCGTATAGGAGGTCAAAGCAGAATTACAAATGTATATATATGAGATATGTACACAAAACGAGAATTTATTTAATCCTATTATTTTACTAATAAGAGGGGAAGCAGTAATCCTTTTATCTTGTTTCATACCTCGCACACTCATTATAAACAGGTCGACTTATCTCGCGTTTCCTTTTCTTACTCACTATTTCTGCATGCTATGTAAAAAGTACATTGCCTGCTTACTCATATACGGTAGTTTTTTCTCCACATCGTGTTATATATATATATATCTTGTAGACAAAATTAAAATAATCTATCAATATAATTATTCACGATATGCTATGCGATGCGGACGCAAATGCTCTATGGGAATTGAAAAGCAAGTTTATATATATATATATA